CAGTCCCTCCCAGTTTGGTCCCAGTTCCCCCCTAGTGCCCCCAGTGCCCCCAGTCCCTCCCAGTTTGCCCCCAGTTCCTCCCAGTACCTGCGGGGCACGTGCTGCCCGCCCCAGGTCACGGCCACCGAGTAATTCCCGGGCACGGTGGGGAAATACTCGACCCCAAAGGTTCCGTCCCCCAGATCCTTCTGCTTCACGGCCTCGAGACCCTCTGCGGGCAGGAACACCAGGATCAGCCCCCAAAAAAACCCGGAATTGCCAAAAAAAACCCCAGAATTCCCAAAAAAACCCACCCAAAAAATTCAAAAAATGCACTCAGAAACAGGATCACCCCAAACCCCAGATCCTTCTGCTTCACGGCCTCGAGACCCTCTGCGGGCAGGGAAAGAGGGGTCAGCCCCCCAAAAAACCCGGAATTCCCCAAAAAAACCCAGAATTCCCAAAAAAACCCCAAAATCCCAAAAAAACCCAACCAAAAAACCGCAAAAATGCACTCAGAAACAGGATCACCCCAAACCCCAAACCCCAGATCCTTCTGCTTCACGGCCTCGAGACCCTCTGCGGGCAGGGAAAGAGGGGTCAGCCCCCAAAAAAACCCGGAATTGCCAAAAAAAAACCCAAACCAGAATTCCCAAAAAATGGCAATTCCCAAAAAATAACCCCCCCAAAATTCCCAAAAAAAACCACCCAAAGAACCCTAAAAATCCCACAAAAATGGGATTACCCCAAACCCCAAATCCTTCTGCTCCAGGGCCTCAAAACCACCCCAAACCTTCTGCTTCACGGTCTCGAGACCCTCTGCGGGCAGGAACACCAGGATCAGCCCCCAAAAAAACCCGGAATTGCCAAAAAACCCCCAGAATTCCCAAAAAAACCCCAAAATCCCAAAAAAACCCAACCAAAAAACCGCAAAAATGCACTCAGAAACAGGATCACCCCAAACCCCAAACCCCAGATCCTTCTGCTTCACGGCCTCGAGACCCTCTGGGGGCAGGAACAGCGGGGTCAGCCCCAAAACAAACCCAGAATTCCCAAAAAAACCCCAAAATCCCAAAAAACCCCACCCAAAAAAATCAAAAAATGCACTCAGAAACAGGATCACCCCAATCCCCAAACCCCAGATCCTTCTGCTTCACGGCCTCGAGACCCTCTGGGGGCAGGAACAGCGGGCTCAGCCCCAAAACAAACCCAGAATTCCCAAAAAACCCCAAAATCCCAAAAAACCCCCCCCAAAAAAATCAAAAAATGCACTCAGAAACAGGATCCCCCCAACCCCCAAACCCCAGATCCTTCTGCTTCACGGCCTCGAGACCCTCTGCGGGCAGGGAAAGAGGGGTCAGCCCCAAAACAAACCCGGAATTGCCAAAAAAACCCCGGAATTCCCAAAAAATGGCAATTCCCAAAAAATAACCCCCCCAAAATTCCCAAAAAAAACCACCCAAAGAACCCTAAAAATCCCACAAAAATGGGATTACCCCAAACCCCAAATCCTTCTGCTCCAGGGCCTCAAAACCACCCCAAAACCCCCTCCAAACCCCCTCCCCAAATTCAGGGACCCCTCCCCAAATGTTGGGACCCCTCCCCAGACTCACTGGGTCCCTTGGGAGGGGACAA